GTTCAAACAATATTTGGACTTGTTCATCATCGTCTTTATTGATGATATGTACTCAAGGAATGAGGAAGATGATGTGACTCATCTGAGAGTTGTTATGCAAACTCTCAAAGATCACCAGTTGTTCGCTAAGTTTAGCAAGTGTCAATTCTAACTACAATCAATTACTTTCCTTGATCATGTGATATCTAGACCAGACCCACATCTCCAATAGATATCAAGAGTTTCTTGGGTTTGGCTGGTTATTACAGGAGATCTGTTGAAGCATTTTTATCTATAGCTCCCCATTAGACAAGTTGACACTGTAGAATGTCAAATTTTAGTGGTCAGACAAGAATGACAAAAGCTTCTCAAAACTGAACACTAAGTTTACTACAGCTCTGGTATTTACTCTACTAGATGATTCAGACAATTATGTGATTTATTGTAATGCATCGAGGGTCGGCCTAGGTTGTGTGTTAATGCATTGAGGTAAGGTCATGGCGTATGCTTCTAGATAGATAAAGGTCTATGAAAAGAAATACCCGACTCATTGCCTCAAGCTTCTAGCTGTAATGTTTGCCCTTAAGATTTTTAGACAATACTTATATGGTATTCATGTTGATGTGTTCACACACCATAAGAGCCCCTAATATGTGTTCACCTAGAAAGAGTTGATCTCCATAAGATGATATGTCTTGTATTCCTCAAGGACTATTTCATGAATGTGATTTTATGATCCTAGTAAAGCTAATTTAGTGCTTGATGCCCTCAGCAAGCTATCTATGGGTAGTGTAGCACATGTTGAGGAAGAAAGGAAAGATTTAGCTAAAGATGTTCACCGGTTTGCTCGCTTAGGAGTTTGCCTTATGGACACATCAGGTAGTGCAGTAATAGTTCTAAATGGATCAAAATTTTCATAGGTAATGGAGGTTAAGAAAAAATAGTAGTTATACTATACTACTTCAGTTGAAAGGTGCAGTTTATCAACAGAAAGTTGAGGCTTTCTCCCAAGGGGGAGATGGTGTGCTTCGGTACCAAGGTCTCTTATGTGTTTCTAAAATGGGTGAGTTGAGGCAATAGATCCTTAAAGAATTTCATAAATCTAGGTTTTCCATTCATCCAAGTGCCACTAAAACGTACCGTGATATAAGAGAAGTCTTTTGGTGGAACGACATGAAGAGGGACATAGCAGATTTTATGGCTAAGTGTTCTTATTGTCAATAAGTTTAGGTAGAACATCATAAACTAGGAGGTATGATTTAGGAGATTAACATTTCCACATAGAAGTGGGAAGTGATAAATATGGATTTCATTAGGGGTTTACCTTGTACTTGTGAACAATATAACTTCATTTGGGTGATAGTAGACAGAGTCACTAAGTCCGCTTACTTCTTGGCTGACAAGACTACAGATTCAGCAAAGAACTGTGCCAAACTCTATATTGATGAGATACTCAGGTTTCATGGGGTTACCTTGTCTATCATCTCTGATAGAGTTCCCCAATTTAACTCTTATTTCTGAAAATTTTTATAAAAAGTTCTTGGTACTCAAGTAAATCTCAATAAAGCATTTCATCCAAAAACAAATGGTCAAGTAGAACGTACCATTCAAAACATAGAGGTCATATTGGGAGATTGTACGATCGATTTAAAAGGTAGTTGGTATGATCACCTACCTCTCATAGAACTCGCCTATAATAATATCTTTCATTCTAGTATTCATATTGCCCCGTAGAGGCCTTATATGGGCGTAGATGCAGGTCCCTGATTTGTTGGTTTGAAGTAGGTAAAGCAGCCCTAATAAGGCTAGATTCATTTTATGATGTTATGGAAAAATTTGAACCCATCATATATAGACTTAAGACAGACGAAAGTCATTAGAAGCCCTATATAGATAAGAGGATAAGGGACTTAGAGTTTGAAATCAATGATTGTGCTTTCCTAAAAATATTACCTATGAAGGGGGTGATAAGATTTGGTAAGAAAGGGAAGCTTAGTTCTAGATATGTATGTTCTTAGAGAATCCTCAAAAGGGTTGGTAATATGGCATATGAGTTAGAGTTGCTAGTAGAACTAGTAGCGGTTCATATTGTCTTTCACATTTCCTTGTTGAAGAAGTGTGTGGGTGATTTGACATAAGTATTACCATTAGAGAGTGTGGTTGCAAAGGATATTCTCACTTATGAAGAGGTTCAAGTTCAAATTCTTAACCGACAGATTTGTAGTTAAGAAATAAGAAAGTCGCTTCAGTAAAGGTTTTGCGGAGGAGTCAGTTCGTAGAGTGGGATACTTGGGAAGCAGAAGCAACCATGATGTCCAAGTATCCTCACCTCTTCCCTTCCGATTACATTCCAGCTTGAGGTAAGATTTCCTCTACAGCCTCTTAGATTACTCTTCTGTAAATTCATTTTTAGCATCTTGTTCCCACAGTTATTCTTTCATTTCATCATGTTTGCATGTTCTTGGAACTCTGTTTTGTTAGATATCGGTTTCTAGAACTTAGTGGTAGAGACTGCAGCTCCTTCTCTCCATACTCATCTTATCTAGACTCCATTCAAGGACGGATGTTCCTGAAGGGGATATGTTGCAATACCTTAGAAGTGAGGCTTAAACCAAACAGTAGAAAAACGATTGAACTACAAAAAAATTGGAGGACCACAAGACCCTCCACAGGCCATGGATCCCCACATAAGTCATTGGATGGCTCGTAGGAGCAAGGCAAAGCCCCCAAGGCCCAAACATTGAACCACGGAGCCCACCACGATCCATGATCTCAATGACAGTACGTGGATGGATCCATCGTCCTGAGACAGCTAACCCCCTAGCCCAAGTGAAGTACCACGGTGGCCTTCACGGTCCATGGTCCATGAAGTGGACTATAAATGGAGTGTTGGAACATGTAGATACTGTCCAGTAACCACTACCCATTTAAGGGGTTGTGGTCCCTTTGACGATTCGTCAGTGGCTCCGTGGTAGGCCTCCATCAACTTTTAAGTTTGGATTATTTTTTTCTTTTCTTCTATGCATTAAGCATTCAAACTACATCTTTTAATACCTAAACTACGTCATTTTATTCAATTTAAGCCTAATTATCTAGTCAGAACATACCCAATATCTTTATTCTTCAAAATTCATCGGAAGTAGAGAAAAAAGAAGAGGAAAGTCGACTAGCCCTCTCAAGAACAATCAGAAGATTTTCTTCAAGTTCTAGCCCCAATATCAAATCATTTTTTCGTAGACTTCATCATCAGGTTTGTGGGATTTCACTGGTGGGTTCCGTTCATCTACTAGGTCCCTAAAATTCAATCAGTTTCTTGATTTTTCATATCTTGTTAGACCCAGGGTTTCTAAAACCTTGGATTTTTGTTGTGATTTTGCTGTTGTGATATCCTTATTCGACATAACATATTTCTTAAAGTGTGTTTAATTCCATATATATAAGTAAGAATCCTAGTTTGTGTAGATTCTCTAAGTTCATAATTACACTTGCTAGATCAGTTTAATAGATAAACATGCTTTAGATATAGAATGTCACATTATCACTATATAAGTGTTACATTCTCAATTATCATGTTATTATTTTAAGCTATTCAGGATTTCAATCATATACATATTCAATTGGGAATCGACTTAGCACTGAGTTGGACTAGATTTCAGCATAACCTCGTAGTCCAAGAACTACTTGCCCCCGTAGGATTATAAGTCCCCTCTATTGGGCATTAGATTTAGAGATCACGCCACTCAGGCCTTTATACCCTTGACAAGGTATATTTGGACCTCTAGATGGGGTGTATACATCAGACTCAAAGTTTAACTCATGCAATTTTATGCCAGTTAATAGTAGTCACAGATGGATGACACGGTGCTACAAAAATTAAATATAAAAAGTAGTCACCGAAATGTTAGCGCGGTGTTACACAAATTAAATATGAAAAAGTAGTCACAGGAATGATGGCACGGTGATACACAAATTAAATATGAAAAAGTAGTCATCCGAATGATGTTACAGTGCTACACAAATTAAATATCGAAAAGTAGTCACCAGAATGATGGCGCGGTGCTACACAAATTACATATGAGAAAATACTCACCAGAAAGATACATGGTGACCCAATTTTTGCTAACATAATATTGGCCGGACATGCTACATATTTGAGTAATAGCCGCCCGCTGACAGTGGAAGCTCTTTGATTGTTTATCAAGATCATAGAAGCTCTGATACCATGTGAGAAATATAGGAAAAGAATATTATTGAATTGTTGTTGTGTCTACATTATTACACGAGACCCTATTTATAGATCATAGAATACAATTCTTTATCAAGTAGGATACTATTTTGTATTCCTATTCCTATTCTAATTTGATTGTATAAACATATTCCTATTCTAATAGGAATGTATAAATTTATTTCTATTCTAATAGGATTGTATAAACCTATTCCTATTTCAATAGGATTATATAAACTTATTCCTATTCTAACAAGAATCTTAGCCCATTTAACCAGGTTTTCAGTATATACTTCAGCATAGAGTTCAACATGTTATTCTCATGATTGGTACTTGGTCATTGCATTTTGCTTAGCTTTTCAGTTATGTTTCAGTATCTACATTCTTGTTCAGTATGCTTTTTCAGCTTATATATATAGATATTTGTTTAGCTTAGTATATAAATCTTCCATGCTCAGTGTCATGACTCAATTTCTTGAGTCATGATGGCACCTATTCTAACTCACCAGTAGGTATGACAACCTATAAACCGAAATAATAAGTAATGGGTCTGAGAAATTAAATAAGAGTAGGGAAAATTTAAGATAACAAAATAAACAGGTGAAAGAAAACCAAAACATATATGTACGCATAAAGATTCCTCCTAGAAACCAGAAGTCACTAGTACAAAGCTACTAAAAATGAGTACAAGTCCCAAAAATGGACCACGGAAAGTGGACCGCCTCGAAAGGCAAAAGACAAGTCTATATATATAAAGAGAGACATAAAGAGAGTGGAGAAAAAATAGTACAAAACATCATGTGCTAACCCACTTCTCTGGATCAGACTGCTCTAAGCTCGATATCAACGTTGCCCACGAGTGCTTAGATCTGCATTGCAAAACAGATGCAGAGTGTAGTATGAGTACCAAAATAATAGGTACCCACTAGGCATCATAGGTCGATCAAACTTGAAAATTAAAGGCAACATGAAAAGTCGGAATAGCATAAACAAAGGTCAATAACGAAAGTCTAAGTAACAATTAATGCACACGAATGTAGAAAGAACTAAATAAGGTAATTTATAATATAAGTACACCTAATAGGACCCCTATAAGTGAAGAAATTACACTCGTGCACAAGTTTAAATCATAACCCAAATGGACCCATAAGCCTGACGAATAAGAACTCAAGAACGGGAACACCGAACTAGAACCTAAACCCAGTTAGTAGAATCTGACAATACGGAGCTGTGACCTCTAACTAAATGCTCTCCAGAAGTACCCAAGTAACAAACCACAAGTATCAAGTAACTGAGGTCGGACTTTTAACAAGACATTCTATAGAAGTATGCAAGTCGTTGAGCCCGAACCTTGAACCGGATGTTCTTTTAAAAAAATATCAATGAGGTCAAGCTCAAAGGTCAAATTTAGATACTTGAAAAATATGCTAATGTAGCTGCTGAAAGAGTCCCAATCTATCCATGATAATTAATGTCCATGCAATGCCCACCACACTTATCCAATCAATGTAAGTTCTTAGAACCGAATCGGAAAAAACATTCCTATTGCAAAGTAGAACACATTCTTGCCGATGTAACTCGTGAAGTCATACCATGGAAGAAATAAGGATAACTATCATGGGAGCAAGAGTATTTCCTAGATAAGGCTAAAACTATCAAACTCAAGTTTGCTACACCATTCTACACGGATATAAGTTGGCCGAGCGACATCAGGGCAAAACTAAGGCATATAGGTTATGAATCATGGATCTTTAAGACAAGCCCCAGTTAAACCTAAAGTAAGGCCCAACATGCTTCAGTAAACAGTAATCAAGCATACATCCTCTCCACATAGAAAAGAGGGTCAATTAATAACACATAAGATGTTCACAAATACCCAATAATTCCCTAAATAGGCCAAAAAAAAATTTTAAACACCTATGCATGATTCAATAACTACCCAACAAAAATTCCAATTAATCAACATGCATTCACATGATTGAGCTCAATCTAAGAGAAGTAAGTTATATCCTACTTGTAGGGCGATCATGCACGCCTTAAAATCACTTTTCTATAGCTTTCCCTTTCTAAACGGCCTCGAAATGCTATCAGTCTATAAAAAATAGAGTCGTACGTCACGGGGTCAAATTTTCACCTCGTGGGACAGTATATGAAGGCTTGCATGGATATTCAAAACTCAGTACAACAGCCAACCAAACACACAAGGAACAATAAGCAAGACGGTCAATAAACAAAGCCACAAACAGTAAAGAAAACAAGTAAGGAAGACAAGGTTCTTTTGGGAGGCAAGAGCCAATTTTTCCAATATTTCTTCCAAGTCTTTGTACAAGAGGATATACAACAAATTCTATATGAGATAAGCTTCCTAAAACAATATACAAAGGCATACAAGTAAGCTAAAACGTTTTGGAAAGAAACTCCACAAGAAAGGCTCCATGTGGCAGTCCTTTACAAGGCTGAAAAAGTGGTAGCCTTGCTTTTCTGCTTTATTGCCACTTGGCAAGCCTGATGCTCAGATTTTGTCTTCAAGTTCTTGGCTGGACATGGTAGGCAGTGCATGTTTATCCTTGCTTACAAGGTACCCCCATCGGTTGGGCTAGAGTTTGGAACAACCTCTTGACCCTCCGAGCCTAAATAGGATGTGGCCGCATTGTTGGAATTGTCGGATTTTAATGTACCACCTTGCGGGGCGGTACACGCTCCCCCACGTGAATTGGCGACGACCCCGACGCCACACAACTGCAAGTACTGGTGGACTTTGTCGCGAAACTGCCACAAGTCCTCGTATTTTTCCCACGTTGCCTCCTCTGGTACCATTCCTTTCCAGTGAACTAGGAACTGCGAACTAGAGTTGTTCCAGCCCTTTCCATGAACAAGTTGATGATCAATGATGGCCTCAATTTGCTTGTCGACAGTAGGCGGTGTGATGAAGATTCTAGCTCTCCCGGACTGTCCCCGCTCTTTGTCTTCCATGTCTTCAAAATATGGTTTCAATTGGCTCGCATGGAAGACGGGGTGTATCTTAAAATGATGGGGCATGTCGACCCGATATGAAATCTTTCCAGCCTTGGCAATAATATCGAAAGGCCCCTCATACTTGCGAATCAAACTTTGATTCACACTCCGCAACGACTTGAATTTCCTTGGATTGAGTTTCACCATAACTCAATCCCCAATTCGGTAATCCACCGGATGCCGCTTGTTCCTCCAGGCTTTCACCATATGATAGGCACCCGGACTATTCAAACCGGCATCGAAAGCCAAGGATTGGGGCGTGTTCGGTTGTTGCCCCGTTGGTAACTCAAAAGGACGCCTCCTCGTCACCTCACTTCGCTGCAAATTGTAAGAGAATTGGGCAGTGTCCAACAGCTTGGCCCAATACTTTTGTTTGGCACTAAATAGTGCCGCAAATAGCACTCCAAGAGCGTGTTGATCCGCTCGGTCTGCCCATCTGTTTGAGGATGGAAGCTATTCGAAAAGTGAAATTCCGACCCCAAGAGACTGAATAATTCCCTCCAGAATGTGCCAGTAAATCGGGGATCCCGATCACTAATGATGTGCTTGGGGATGCCCCAATACTTGACGACGTCGCGCAAAAAGATCCAGGAAGCCTCCTTAGCCTTGCAATTGGCCGTTGTGGCAGTGAATGTAGCATACTTGGAGAAGCGACCCACCACGACCATAATCGTCCGAAACCCTTCCGAGTTCAGCATGCAAGTGATGAAGTCCATCGTGATGCTGTCCCAAGGTTTTTCATCAATGGGAAGCGGCTCAAGCAGCCCACTCGGCACCTTCGTCTCAACCTTGTCTTGTTGACAAATCAGACAAGTCCGCACATACGCCTCGATGTCGTCCCGCATCCGAGGCCAATAGTAAGAAGCCTCTATCAAGGCTAAGGTTCTCTTCTGCCCAGGATGACCAGCCCAAGCGGCATTGTGTCCCTCTTTAATCAATGTACACCGAAGGTTAGCCCACTTCGGAACGTACTCACGCCTTCCCGTTGTGTAGAGCAAGCCACCCTCTTCCCAAAACTTCTAAGTCTTGCCTTGTTGGGCCAAGGCGAAGAGTTGTTTGGCCACGGGATCGTGCTGCATGCCTTATTTTATCTCTTCAACAAGTGATCTGCAACTCAAGCTCATAATAGAAGCCAAAGCAGCCTTGCGACTAAGCGAGTCGGCAACCACATTCGCGTTCCCCGGCTTGTACTCGAATGTGAATTTGAATTCTGCCAAGAAATCCTGCCAACGGGCCTGCTTAGCAGTCAACTTCTTCTGAGATTGGAAATATGTCGTCGCAACGTTGTCCGTCTTTACGACAAATTGAGCACCCAACACATAGTGACGCCAAGTTCTAAGGCAGTGAACTACAGCTGTCATCTCCTTCTCTGAGTAGAATATCGCCTCTCTGCGTCATTCAACTTTCTGCTCTCAAAGGCTATCGGGTGGCCCTCTTGCATTAGGACGCCACCAATAGCAAAGTACAACACACTAGTGTGAACTTCAAACGCCTTGGTGAAATCCGGCAAGGCCAAAATAGGCTCTTCCGTTACAGCAGCCTTGAGCCTCTTGAAGGCAGCTTGGCAAACATCCGACCACTCCCACGCACAGTTCTTCTTCAGCAAGTCAGTGAGTGGGGCTGCAATAGTGTAATAGTTCAAAATAAAGCGATGATAATAATTGGCAAGGCCAAGAAAGGACCGCAACTCGGGTACCTTCGTTGGAGCATTCCAATTCTTAATAGCTTCCACCTTGTCGCTGTCCATCCTTATCTCGCCATGGCTGATGGTGTGTCCGAGAAATTGGACAGTAGGTTGAGCGAAGCTGCATTTCTCCCGCTTCACGCACAATTCATTGTCGCGTAAGACCTTGAACACCTTGCACAAGTGCTCCACGTGATCCTCCCTGCTGTTGCTATAGACGACGATATTGTCTAAATAAATAACCACAAACTGATCCAAGTATGGGTAGAACAGCTTGTTCATCAAAGTACAGAACGTCGCTGGTGCATTCGTCAAGCCAAAGGGAATGACCAGCCACTCGAAGGCACCATAGCGCGTCACACAAGTTGTCTTGGGTTCATCACCTTCGACAATCCGGACTTGGTAATAACCCTTCCTCAAATCCATCTTCGTGAACACTTTGTCCTATCCCAATCTATCAAATAAATCAGCAATCAGGGGAATTGGATATTTTTTCTTCACCATGACCTTGTTGAGGGCTCGGTAGTCGATACATAATCTCAGTGTCCCCTCCTTCTTCTTTTGGAACAAGAGAGGCGCACCAAACGGCGCCTTGGACTGCCTAATGAGTCCCGAATCAAGTAACTCCTTGAGCTTCTTCCTCAATTCTCCCAGTTTCGGGGGTGTCATATGATAAGGCGTCATGGCAGGCAGCTTTGCCCTTGGAACCAACTCAATCTAGTGATCAACTTTCCTTCGGGGTGGAAGCCGTTGGGGAAGTTCTTCCGGCATCACGTCCCTATTGTTGCTAAGGACCTTCTCAATGCAATGAGACAATGGAACTGCCTCGGAAAAGCTTTCGGCGCCTCCAACAAGGGAAGCAATAAAGGTTGGTTTGCCTCTCTTGAAACCCTTAATAATCTGCATCGCCGATAAATGCATCCCGTTTTGTGGTACCCAAATAAGGGGTACCACGCATGAACCTCCGGTATCACTGATGTGCAGCTGGTTGTGACGCGGTGAAATAAATGTGTTGACTTCGTACCAAAAGTCCAGCCCCAAAATTACATCAAACACATCCATAGGGGCAATGATGAAGTCAATCTGCCCCGTCCAATCTCCTAAATCAATTGGTACTTTAGGAGCAAAGCCATGGACGGAAGTGGGAGTGGCGTTGACTGTCTTCAACAAAGTATTGCTGGCAACATAGTTCAGGCCAAGCTCCTTAACCTTCTGTTCTGTGACAAAGTTATATGTTGCACCGGTGTCCACCATAATCCGCACGTCTTTTCCGTTCAACTTGGCATCGACAAGCAGTGATTCCCGCGGCTTGATACTAGCCGGTTGAGCAGCCAAAGAAGCAATGGAAATGTGATTAAACAAGGCCATATGATTGAACATGCCAACAGCCACGTTCTTTCCTTTATCCATCCCGCTATTCTGCCCCCGTTGCTCCCTGGCAGTACTTCCAATTTGCGTCGCAGCCTTCTCTTGCTGCTTCTCGGTAGCCACCATAGCACTCAATTTTCTTAACGACGGACAATAACGAGCTGCATGTGTTGTCTCCCCATAAATATAACAACCTTCGCGATGAGGAGCGCCCCTCTTGCGGTCCTCATAACTCTTGAGGAAATTGGAAGGTTGATCACGAGTGTTACCTCTCGTGTCGCTGCCTCAGTTTGGATTCGGTCTACTTCTACTCCTGTTGTTTTCAACCTTGGGAGGAATAGTTTTGCTCCGGTTATCCCTCCCCTTTTCCGCATCTGCCCGGAAATCGTTAAGCGATTCCACCACTACTATCGCCTCGTCCACGTCGGTAACTTGACGTCTTTGAAGCTCTTGCTTGGCCAAGTTTTGAAGGCCATCTAGAAAGTAACATAGCAAGTCTTCGCTGGTCAGGCTCGGAAATTGAAGTGTTAACTTCGTGAACTCTTTCACATAATCTCGAATCGAGAAAGTTTGTTTCAACTCCCTCAACTTCCGACGAGCCTCACGGACAACATTTTGAGGGTAGAATTGACATTTGAGTTCAACCTTGAACTGCTCCCAGCCGTCAATACAGCAAACCCCCTTCTCTATGTTTTCCTTCTTCCGTCGACACCACAGCATTTCTGTATCCGTCAAATACATAGTTGCCGTTCTGATCTTGGCAGCTTCGTTTGGCATGTTCAAGTGCTCAAAATAAGCATCCATCTTCCACAAGAAGTTCTCCACGTCTTGAGCACTCCTTTCCCCACGAAATTCCTTGGGTTTGGGAGCCTCAATGCGCGTCTCACGTACAGTAACAGGAGCAGTAACCCCCATCTCGGCAGCCTCATCAACCTACCTTTTTAGTGCCTCCACCTCTCTTTGAAGGGAAGAGATGGCCTCGTTGAGCTTGAGTTTGAGGGTGGACAAACCCTCTTTATGAACTTCCTCAAGCTCAACAAGGTTGTTCTTCACCTCCTCCAGCCCTTCAATGGCTAGAGATTCGAGGGAACTAAAGTTGTTCTCAACAACAACAATCCTTCTATTCAAGGCTGACAACCCCACCTAAACTCGAAGGATTTTCTCGTCGAGTTGGCTGTTTTCCGCACCTTCTTCCTCTTCACCAGTAGCTCTACTACCAAGAGAAGGCTTACAAGAAGGTTCTGTTACCTTGCTCTTGTCACGTTTCTTGGAAGGTTCCCTCCGAACTTCAGGCTCCTTGTCTTGGACAGCCTCTTCATTCCGTTGTGACTTCGACGTCATGATTCAACTGATGCTCTGATACCACTTGTCACGGGGTCAAATTTTCACCTCGTGGGACAGTATATGAAGGCTTGCACGGCTCTTCAAAACTCATTCCAACATCCAACCAAACACACAAGGAACAATAAGCAAGACAGTCAACAAACAAAGCCACAAACAATAAAGAAAACAAGTAAGGAAGACAAGGTTCTTTTGGGAGGTAAGAGCCAATTTTTCCAATATTTCTTCCAAGTCTTTGTACAAGAGGATATACAAGATATTCTATATTATATAAGCTTCCTAAAACAATATACAAAGGCTTATAAGTATGCTAAAACGTTTTGGAAAGAAACTCCACAAGAAAGGCTCCATGTGGCAGTCCTTTACAAGGCTGAAAAAGTGGCAGCCTTGCTTTTCTGCTTTATTGCCACTTGGCAAGCCTGCTGCTCAGATTTTGTATTCAAGTTCTTGGCTGGACATGGTGGCCAGTGCATGTTCATCCTTGCTTACAAGGTACCCCCATCAGTTGGGCTAGAGTTTGGCACAACCTCTTGACCCTCCGAGCCTAGATGGGATGCGGCCGCATTGTTGGAATTGTCGGATTTTAATGTACCGCCTTGCGGGGCGGTAAACGTAACATTATTAAGATTGTTTAGACACTAAAATTTCAAGAAATGGAGATGGACCAATTTCGGGCCCCCACTAGAAATGTTGGAATTTACTTCAAAAATAGGTTCTTAACATCTCCCCTAACTTGTGTTAAAAATGTGACACA